ATCACACTTAGATCGATTTTACCCGCCCAACTTACTGCTTGTATGGAATCCATGCGCACATCACCGTCCCTCCACCACCAGTTGTGGAGCACACGAAAGAAATAGTTGAAATCAATGGTCGAAAGAGAGCGAGAGATTGCGGACCTCCAACTCCCCATTTGAAGCTTAAAATGCGTGCATATTCGTCTCGTGTATGTTCCACAATATGAACGCATCCCAAAAGTAGGAGTCGGAAGACAGGGCATAGGCGGCCGGGAGGAGGCAATGAAACGATTTATCTAGCATTTCGCGAGCCTCGTTAGTGGTGAAAAGAAGGATGTATGCTCGCAGCAAAAACACAAAATACGTTTGAACGTGCCATTCGGTGCAGTGCGCCTGTTTTTTTCTTAGGTAAGAATAGTAACATCTGATTTCAAAGAATTAAAAATATTTGATACCCACGTTGTTTATACCAATAAAACAGGAAAACCACCAAATGGCCAAAACGTCCTTTTCACTTTTGATCGCTGATACGGGCAGGCATTGTTGCACGAAGTCCATTAAAAATAACGGACGTAACCCTAAAATGATTATTAGTATGATAATTAAGGTAACAAAAATTCCTGAGCGTAGTGCATACGGTATCTATTAGAACTTCTCTTAAAGAAAATTAATATGATAATTAAGTAATAAATAGGTTTGTATTGGATACATCTTATGGGCACTTTATTTGATAAAAAACGGTTGCTTAATCTGGAATAAGAAGAACTTCAAAGACCTCTGAGACTTGGGTTTGTATATTCATTTTGGTTACGTTATTCGCCGTCCGACACTAACAGTAACGCCTGTTTAAGACCTAGCTATATTTCCGACACCGTAGAACAAGTCTGATCTTATGAAATTGCAAACAACTAGCAAAGAGCTTACTGAGAGCACTTCTGGAAATAATTTTAGAAAATTTGTAAAGTTATGAGCATCTAGGCCATGGTGCGAATAAGAACGATCTCGGTGCCAAACCAGCTATCTTTTGTACACATCAGTAACGTCGGAAATGTCAAGCAGGGGCATTTATCCAAGTACGAGAAAGCTCTTTGTTGTAATAAACCTAATCTGCAAAATCATGGGCTGTGCCCCCTTCTTTTCGGCATACAGTGTTCGGTGTTTACTTGTACATGGGCTTTATAGACTAATTTATAAGGTTGATTGGGATTACTCAGGTTCGATTTCTATAGCCAACTTGCCATCTTCATGGGATATGATTCTGAGTACTTTTACTTATCTGCTGAAAGCAGATATTAACAGTTTCGCAAAAAAATATGAAGGCGCAGTTCCTGGGATAGCAGTTTTATTTGTCTGAGCCTTTCGCTTTTTACAAGAGGCCAATTTCATTTAGCAGAAATTGATGTGCTTTTTTAGTTTAGCTATGAGAAAAGGGGGTGTGGGATAAGGCGTTGCATGTGTGGTAAAGTTCAGTCCACGCCGCGTACCGGTGGATGTTTCCTTTGTCATCGTCTAATTATGCCCTTTGGAATCCCCAAGGTTGAACACAACGAGAAGGGCGTAACTCTAGAAGCCACCAGGAGGAGACTTTATTGTGTACAAAACCCGGGTGGCAGTTGCCTCTTACATAAAGCTAGTGTGCTATATGTCCCGCCTCGGGTGAAGCCCGGGATTGGGGTGGACTGGCGGTGTCCTTGTCAGTCTGTATGCAGCTTACTGTCTGTAATGTGACAGTTGCTTATAATTGATTGTCAAGCGCGTTCGCTTGTTGCATGATTGGACACGTTGGAATAAGGTCACCTACCGTGGGAGGCACCTAAGTGGTCCCTGGGGAAACTGTGACCATTTAAGCACGCGCGTTGGATCGAGTGCGTGTGTGTCCGGTCCAGAGGTTTAAGGTCATCGCGTGGGACAGTCATCAGCAAAGGCATATGACCCTGGAGGCAGTCCGCATTGATAAATGAATCATTGTGACAGTCGGCCACAGGACCGACGCCTCAGGAGAACCTGTACTGTCGCTGGCATTCGGTTATGCTAGGCTCCTAACACGCCGTCTCGTGGCGTCTTAATGGAATGCGTCCTTGGCTGCCCAAACGAAGGGCGTGATAACAGGAGGTTATACAAAAATGTCTGTTGATGGGGTTGGAGTCAGGTACCCAGGCCTCCAGTAGCTCTCGCCTCGTCTTATTACTAGCTCGCGCCATCATCCACGCCACCGTGAATTTTAATCCATGGCCTTCTTCCAGGATGTTGGTACCGATCTGAGACAGTGGATCGACCCTCTGCACTCACTGCTCGTTTGTGTTCCATTAATCGCGAGCTAAGTCGTCGTCCGGTTTGCCCTGTATAATCGCGAAAACAGTTGTGACATTGAGGTTTTATGGTCCATAACCTTTTTCAAGATATTGCTGTTGCTTTCTCTGTTTAAGGCAGAACAGATCTACTGTGAGTTCCAAGAAATTCATTATTTCAATCTCCATATTACCCTAAATGAATTAACTTATCTGCCAGTCAAGTTGATGATAAAGTGCTGACTGTCGGTAAAGGGCGAGTCATAGCATTTATGTCATGTTTACGGGTTTAAGAGGTCGGATGATTACCTGGCCATAATTTTACCAACTTCAGTCAAAGAGGGTGATTTTGACTCCAACTACCCTCGGATTTTGAGAAAAGTGGGCATTAAAAGTCAGATTTGTGTGAACATTTTTTCAGATCCTATCCCTCATTGATTGGATAAATATTGCAGGTTCCACGTGAAGTTATTTTCGGTCAAAATAATGGTTATTTTTCCACTCATTATCTAGACAATTTTACTAGTTTTAAGATCTCGGCCAAAAGATCTCAATTCAAAGGCAGGAGGCTGCATTTAAGCAGTTGACGGTACTGTTTTATTGTATAACCTAGCCCGCTTTAAAATGCTTTAAAATTGGATTTCTAGCAGAGGCCGACACAGGAAATCTAATCCAACCCACAACGTCATTATGATGTGCTTTTCAATCAGTTAATGCGGATAAAATCCCCACAGTAGCAAGCGGTTGTGGTCTTTAACTGCACTCCTCAAGAAATGCGGCTCTATATTCGAGTTCGCAGTCTCAAGCAAGCATATTCGCTTCTATCGGCAAAATGATTTTAGTATAGAGTTGGCCCTCCCCTGGCATTCCAGGCATGTGCGAGCCTATATTTACTACAATCTTTTTCCAATGCACATTTCAGCCGATCTTCACTGCCATTGCGCAGAGTTGGTCAGTCCTACAGAACGAGATGGTATTCGTCTCAATGTTGACGAACCTTATGCACAGTCTACAGGCTTTCGCTACTCGCCGCCAGATGCGTCTAACAGAGGAGACTCAGATGGCATTTCTCCATCCCGGTGAAGTCATTTACGATTCAGATCGTGCTGTAAGATCTATCCTGTGCTTTTTTTATTTTCCCTATGCTTTCAACTTCCCATGAATTTTCCTTGCTAAAGCTTAGCCAGAATCGTAACCCTGGTATAGCATGCCAACCTAAATCAAATAAATACCCAAGTTATGGTAAACAAACTTACACACTCGATCGTAGGGTCATTGTTTGCAAAAGTACTGTGGAAGCGTCCCTGTTCCCCTCTGAAGACTTACACACAGATTCATGCACATATCTAGCTTTTATCTTGATAAAATTTGGCCATTTTCCTGGAAATTTCGATAGGGTATGCATTGAAAAAGTAATTAAAGTCGACACTGCCAATCTTATCCGCCATATGAGCTTTCATGACTGCAACCTGTGTTCATTCGGTCAATGTAGGATTGATTTTACCTACCGTTTTATCCCCGAGTTGTATGTTAGGAAAATAAGACAGGCAGGATAGTAAATAACAGTTTCTGCTTGAACATAACACTCTGCGCGTGTCTCTCAACTTGTTCCTTGTCCGCCAGAAAGTTGTCCCGTCTGCAGCTTGTCTTCTGTGTGTCCGGCAGCTTGGTTTCGACAGCAGCTTGGTCTCGTCTTAGCAGCAGCATGCGTCTTTTTATTCGCAGCCTAGTATTTAAGGGGCAAGCAATCTTTGTACCCTTTGTCTCTTCTTATTGGTCCCTGCGCGGGATGCCAATCTGGGCAGGCGTGGTGTGATGCTGATGACCTCAGTGTGACACAACACGGCGTCTGTGTCTCGTGTGCGCGTAACTCCTTATGCCCTCGCGTGCTGTCGGCACCTGAAGGTCGCACGTAACCTGGTCCTTTGTGCGATGGCCCTATCGCATGTTGTTTCATTTTTATCCTGACCCGAGGACGGCAAGAGTGTTT